ACAGCTGCATACTAATATTAGTTAGAGTTAGTTTCACGTGAATTGATAAGATTCATACAGTGGTATGATTCACGTCTTGATTGCAGGATGTTAAATCAGAGAATATAGAGAAGCGTCATAGTTTAAATTAAATGACGGTTGAGGACTCCTCGACTTATGTTGGCAACAGTGTCTGTTTCTAACTAGGAATAAAATTAACTAGAAAAAATGTCATAATATTTTTAACGACATGTTTTACTTTCGACAAATTGACACTAGATTTACCAGAAGATTACAAGCTGCTTACTGTTTCCTTCACTTTTCGATTTCTCAATTTTTCGATTCTTTAGATTCTTAGTTTTTGGATATTTCAGTTTTGAGATTTTTCAGATTTCGATTCGTCAGTTTATCTTTTATTTTGCGGTTTTTCGGTATTTCAGTTTTGGGATTTTTCAATATTTCTATTCTTCGAATTTTCCATTTTTGACTTCCGGATTTTTCGATGTGTCGACTTTTTACTTTTGCTTTTTCGATTCTTAAATTTTAGATTTCTCAATTTTTTGGTATTTTAATTTTTCAATATTTAAAATTTTAGATTTATCGAGATCTCGATTTTTCATTTCAGCTCTTCCATATTTCAATTTTTCAAATGTTTCGATCTCTTAATCTTTTGATTTTTCAACTTCCCAGTTTTATATTTTCTGCTTTTCAATTGTCGTTGTTTCAAATTTTCGATTTTTCAATTTTTCAAATTTGACATTTATAAACTGTCAATTTTTCGATTTTACAATGAATCGATGTTTTGATTTTCCCATTTCTTGACTTTCGAAGATTTCGATATTCCTGTTCTTCAATTAATTTTTCGATTTTTCAGGTTTTTGATTTTTGATTTTTTTATTTTTTTAAGGTTTTAATTTTGCGACTTCACTTTTTGGATTTTTGTATTGCTCAATTTTTCGACTTTTTAGGTTCTCAATTTTTGGATATTTCAGTTTTCGTATTTTTCAGGTTTTTCATTTTTCAGTTTTTCTTTCATTTTTCAGTTTTTCAATATTTCAGTTTTGGGATTTTTCAATATTTTCATCCTTCGACTTGTCGATTTTTGGCTTCTGGAGTTTTTCGTGTCAATTTTTTTACTTTTTCGATTTTTCAATTTCTCGATTGCTTAATCTTTCGAGTTTTCGACTTCCCGCTTTTAGATTTTCTGTTTTCAATTTTCGTTTTAAATTTTTCGATTTTTCAGGTTTTTTGGTTTTTCCATTTTTTCATATTTCGATTTTTCTACTTGACTTTTTTGATTTGTCGATTTCTCAATTTTTCAATTTTTTTATTTCTCAGTTTTTGGACATTTCAGTTTTGGGATTTTTCAGTTTACTTGTTCAATTTTTCTATTTTTTTAAGGTTTCAATATTTCGACTTCACTTTTTAATTTTTCGGTTTCTCAATTTTTCAATTCTTAGTTTTTGGATATTTCAGTTTTGGGATTTTTCAGTTTTTCGATTCGTCAGTTTATCTTTTATTTTGCGGTTTTTCGGTATTTCAGTTTTGGGATTTTTTAATATTTCTATTCTTCGACTTTTCCATTTTTGACTCCGCGATTTTTCGATGTGTCGAATTTTTACTTTTGCTTTTTCGATTTTTAAATTTTAGATTTCTCAATTTTTTGGTATTTTAATTTTTTAATATTTAAAATTTTAGAATTTTCGATTTCTCGATTTTTCATTACAGCTCTTCGATATTTCAATTTTTCAAATGTTTCGATTTCTTAATCTTTTGATTTTTCAACTTCCCAGTTTTATATTTTCTGCTTTTCAATTGTCGTTTTTTCAAATTTTCGATTTTTCAATTTTTCAAATTTGACATTTATAAACTGTCAATTTTTCGATTTTTCAATGAATCGATGTTTTGATTTTCCCATTTCTTGACTTTCGAAGATTTCAATATTCCTGTTCTTCAATTAATTTTTCGATTTTTCAGGTTTTTGATTTTTTATTTTTTAATTTTTTCAAGGTTTCAAATTTGCGACTTCACTTTTTGGATTTTTTTATTGCTCAATTTTTCGACTTTTTAGGTTCTCAGTTTTTGGATATTTTAGTTTTCGTATTTTTCAGGTTTTCCATTTTTCAGTTTTTCTTTCATTTTTCAGTTTTTCAATATTTCACTTTTGGGATTTTTCAATATTTTGATCCTTCGACTTTTCGATTTTTGGCTTCTGGAGTTTTCCATGTGTCAATTTTTTTACTTTTTCGATTTTTCAATTTCTCGATTGCTTAATCTTTCGAGTTTTCGACTTCCCGCTTTTAGATTTTCTCTCAATTTTTCGATTTTTCAATTAATCCATTTCTTGACCTCGGAGTGTTTCGATTTTGCTGTTCTTCAGTTCTTTAATTTTTTGATTTTTTAATGTTTCGATTTTTTAAGGTTTCTATTTTTCGACTTCACTTTCTGATTTTTCGATTTTTCAGTTTTTAGATATTTCAGTTTTAGGATTTTTCAATATTTCAATTCTTCGGCTTTTCTGCTTTTGACTTATGGGTTTTTCGATGTGTCTACCTTTTTACTTTTTAGATTTTTCAATTTTTGAATTTTTAAATTTTAGATTTTTCAATCTTTTGATAATGTAATTTTTCAATATTTCTTAATCTTTCTATTTTTCGGTTTCCTGGTTTTAGATGTTCTGTTTTATCAATTTTTCGATTTGTTCATTTTTCATTCCCGATTTATGGAGATTTGATTGTTCAGGTTTTCGATTTATCATTTTTTCAATTTTTTATTTTGGCTTATTTCGGTTTCTCAGTTTTTCCAGTTTTCCATTTTTTCATTTTTTGATTTTTCCGCTTTTCCAATTTTTCAACTTTTAACTTTTTGTTTGTCGATTTCTCTATTTTCCGATTTTTCGACTTCATCACTTTTCGATTTCTCGTTCTTTTGATCTTTCAATCTCTTAATTTTTCAATTTTTCGAATTTTTAAGTTTTTGGATTTCTCGATATTTTGATTGTCAATTTCTCAATTTATAAATTGTTGAATTTTTAAATTTTCGAATTTGGCCTATTTCGGTTTCTCAATTGTTCGACTTTTCGACTCCACGATTTCTCGGTTTTTCGATTTTCCAGTTTTTCGATGCTTCGATTTTTTAGTTATCCGATTTTTTAAATTTGGGAGTTTCGATTTTTCGTTATTCGGTTTTTAAATTTTAGATTTTTGAATTTTACATTTTTTCGATTTTCAGTTCTTCGATATTTCGATTTTTCAATGTTTCGGTTTTACGATTTTTTAAGGTTTCAATTTTGCGACTTTACTTTTTGGATTTTTCTATTGCTCAATTTTTCGACTTTTTAGGTTCTCGATGTGTCGATTTTTTTACTTTTTCGATTTTTAAATTTTAGATTTTTTAATTTTTAAATTTAATTTCAATTTTAATTTTTCAAGTTTTCGAATTTTTCAAATGTTTCCATTTCTTAATCTTTTGATTTTTCGACTTCCCGGTTTTAGATTTTCTGTTTTTCAATTGTCATTTTGTCAAATTTTTGATTTTTTAATTTTTCAAAATTTTCAATTAATAAACTTTTATAAACTCTCAATTTTTCGATTTTTCAATTAATCCATTTCTTGACCTTGGAGTGTTTCGACTTTGCTGTTCTTCGGTTCTTTAATTTTTTGATTTTTCAGGTTTTTGATTTTTTAATTTTTCGATTTTTTAAGGTTTCTATTTTTCGACTTCACTTTTTGATTTTTCGATTTTTCAGTTTTTAGATATTTCAGTTTTAGGATTTTTCAATATTTCAATTCTTCGGCTTTTCTGTTTTTGACTTAGGGGTTTTTCGATGTGTCTACCTTTTTACTTTTTCGATTTTTGAATTTTTGAATTTTTAAATTTTAGATTTTTCAATCTTTTGATATTTTAGTTTTTCAATATTTCTTAATCTTTCTATTTTTCGACTTCCTGGTTTTAGATGTTCTGTTTATTTGATTATTCAGGTTTTCGATTTATCATTTTTTCAATTTTTTATTTTGGCCTATTTCGGTTTCTCAGTTTTTCCAGTTTTCCATTTTTTCATTTTTTGATTTTTCCGCTTTTTCAACTTTTAACTTTTTGTTTGTCGATTTCTCTATTTTCCGATTTTTCGACTTCATCACTTTTCGATTTCTCGTTCTTTTGATCTTTCAATCTCTTAATTTTTCAATTTTTGGATTTCTCGATATTTTGATTGTCAATTTCTCAATTTATAAATTGTTCAATTTTTAACTTTTCGATTTTGGCCCATTTCGGTTTCTCAATTGTTCGACTTTTCGACTCCACGATTTCTTGATCTTTTTCGATGTTTCGATTTTTCAGTTATCAGTATCGTTATTCGGTTTTTAAATTTGAGATTTTTGAATTTTACATTTTTTCAATATTTCGATTTTTCAATGTTTTGGTTTTACGATTTTTTAAGGTTTCGATTTTTCGATTATTAGATTTCTCGATTTTTCGAATTTTCTATTATGTTAATTTTTCATTTTTTTTTCTCACTGTTAAAAAATCTATTGGGATATTACGATTTCAACAATATTCTTAGTTAAACAAAAGTTCTCAGGCGAGTTGTAGTGAATCAAGTTTTTTTATTGGCATCGACTATTTAAATTTGGCGCTTGCCTTTGGCGGTTGAGGACTTCAATGTCAATAAGGGTGGTTTTCCAAAATCAGCCTCTATGTCGCATCTATATTAATCTATGGTTAAATCATGTATATAAAAAGCTAAATCTTTGACAGTTAAAACCTAGCTAATTCAATTTTAGATAATGTAGACTAATTCGATAAAAGTCCAGACGGAACAAACGAATTTGATTTTATTTGTTATTTAACATTGACATTTGTAGCGACTACCAATCTCGAAAACATAAATTACACCAGTTCTAGCACGAAACTCAATTAAGCTATTAGAGTCTCAATTTGGGTGTTTAACCCTTGGTCTAAACTTATTTAGACAGATTTTCCCTCTATATGTGTATATGATATCTAATTTTCCGTTATTCCAGCCAAAATTGGTCTCTTCTACTTGATCTTCTATGGCATGCTCGCCGCCCTCGTGGCCATCTGCATGTGGGTCTTCCTGCAAACCCTAGACCCTCGAATCCCAAAATGGCAGCAAGACGCATCCGTCATTGGCACAAACCCAGGTTTAGGCTTCCGACCGATGCCGAAAGATAACGAAGAAAGTACCCTGATATGGCTGCAAGGCACCAATAAAGCCAATTACTTAAATTGGTTCGACAATATAATGGAGTTTTTAGACAGTGAGGACAACCTTGTCACATACTTGTTCCACCACAACTCAATGCGAATTTTCAGAGTACTACACGCCCGGTAAAATCGAAAAGGGCAACGCTTACCTCAAAACTTGCTCATATACAGAGTGGCCAACCGAAACCGAAGTGTGCGAGGTGGACGTGAAGGACTGGGGCGACTGCAGTCGCGACCAGTTCTTCAACTACTACAGGAGCTCACCGTGTATATTCTTAAAGCTGAACAAAATCTACGGCTGGACGCCGGATTATTACGACGACCCTTATGATCTCCCGCCAGATATGCCAAAACATTTGCAAGATCACATCCGGAACATCACACGACTGGAAGAGGTAAGTTTCGATTTAGTCGGGCACCAGTTTTTATAATTCGTTCCAGAGGAGGAATATTTGGGTGTCTTGCGAAGGTGAAAACCCGGCCGACGTGGAATACTTAGGGCCTGTTCAGTTTTACCCTCCCGTTCAGGGATTCCCGGGGTACTACTTCCCGTTCCGGAACTCCGAAGGGTATCTTAGTCCCTTGGTGGCCGTCAGGTTTCTCCGGCCAGTTTGTACGTATAGTACCAACTTTAATAGTGAAAGTAACTATTTTTCTTTGTAGCTGGGATTGTTATCAATATTGAGTGTCGAGCCTGGGCCAAAAATATCCATTACAACAGGGCGGAGCGGATGGGCTCGGTACATTTCGAGCTTCTGATTGATTAGAAGTGCCTTATTTAGGAGTATTTGTAATTTTCTACATTGTTAGGAGATGTTGCGTTCGAGCTTTTAATGACATTCCGTTTAGTGACGAAGTGAGTTTTTTGTGTAGTTGGCAGCACTTGAGCAATGATATTACTTTGTATGATTCAGACTTGCCAAAGAGTCTTTTTATTTCTACAATAGGTACATCGCGTTACGATGGTATTGATTTGGCATCTGTAAGTTTTATTGTGTTCGTAATTTAATTTACATAATTATTATTATGTATATACTTGGATAAGTTATATCTGTTTATTTTGTTATTACTCAGTGTTTAAATAAAGATTTTAGTCATTGTTTTGGCGTTTTATTGACCTTTGTGATTGATAGATTTGTGGTGGTTTTAGTTGGGGTTATGCAACCAGAAATACAGGCCAAGACAAGTCCAATCAATAGTAAATGTGTTGCGCTATTTTTGGCTGTGTTTGCACACTGACTTAATTTGTGTTGATCGGAAAAAATAGTATACACTTTTAAGAAATATGGAGACAAAATTATAAATACTTAAGGCCTGAAATACATACAATTTCAGTCCTAAAATAATTTATGTGTAGGATACTGGTACAGGTGGTATATGAACCGAAAAACGTAGATAGTGTCCTTCATTTAAATAAGTTTAGAACTGAAAGTGTATGTCAATACTTATTTATAAATTTGTGACGGAGTTTCAACAAGTACTTGCCTCATCAATAAAAAAAAAGTTAAACCTATCTTACCTGATGAAATAAAAAAATCCAAAAAAATTGTCCATAGTTTGATTAAAGTATCATAATATAATAGTTCTTTTGCCTTTCAGTTTCAAGATAGATTTTTGTTTATTCTTTCTTCTTCTGAGAAGAACGTCATTTTTCGGTCATCCTCTTTGAAAAATCTGTTTCCTTCTTTTTTTTTTCAATCTTTGGAGGTCACTATTTTGTTGTTGTTGTTACTTTTTTATCGGATTTTACAATAAAAAACACAAAAAAGGTGAAGAAAGCGAAAAGAGGCTACAAATAAAAGCAGCAAACTAAAGCTGATTAGGGTCTAAAAAAATGCGTTAAAAAAGCCGACTAAAAATCAAAACAAAAAAAAAGGCAAGAAAAGGAGGTCAAAAAAAGCTACCAAAAAACACAAAAACACTTCACAAAAAAACAACAATAAAAATGGCAAACAGCACAAAATAAGTGATAAAAAGAAGCCAAAAGCCCAAAAAACGGGACAAACAACGACCAGTAAATACCATAAAAAAGACGACGAAAAAGTTGTGAAAGCGCTACAAAAAATGGGACAAAAACGGTAAATAGAGAAAAAGTGATAAAAAATTGGATAAGAAGGTAGATATTGAAAGCGAAAATAGCTACAACTAAAAGTCGAAAAAAAGCTAAAACGCGAGCTTAAAATATGTCGCAAAAAAGGTGACAATAAAAAAGCGAAAAAGCGCTATAAAAAGATTAAAAAAAAGACGATAAAAAAGCACAAAAAAAGGGTAACAAAAAACCAGAGCAAAGAAAGGACGACAATAAAAAAGCGCCATCACAAGGAAATAAAAAAATAAAATAAGAGGCAAAAAAATGCGGCAAAAGAAACAAAAAAAAAAGTTGGGATAAAAAAGTACAAAAAATACTCCCTTATAAGAAAATCCGAGAAAAAAAAGTGACACAAAAGGCAACGAAAAACAAAAAAATGGAATTAAAATCTCTAACAAGGGGACCAAAAAAGCAGATGAAAACAAACAACAACAAAAATGCGACAAAAAACGTATAAAAAAGTTATAAGAAACAATTAAAAAAGCTACAAAAAAACGACAAAAAACGAAAAATGGGACAAAAAGCTACAAAAGATTATTAAAACCCGACATGAAGAAGGTGAGAAAAAATGCCACAAAAATCTAGATAGCTTATAAAAGATACGACAAAAAATGGACACAAAAAGTCGAAAAAAAGGGGACAAATAACTCCATTAAATAAAAACACAAAAAAATGGGATAAAAAAAAAACATTGTAAAAAAGAATATAAAAAACGATAATAAAAAAGAAGACAAAAAGCAATGAATACGGACAAAGCTAACACAAGGGTCTAAAGAAAGTGACAAAAAAGCGACTTGGCCAAAATGACGTCAAAAAATGATGAGAAAAAAGTAAAAAAAGGTCAAAAAAAAACGACAAAAAACATGGCAAAAAAAGCAATAAAGTAAAAAAAACGAAAAAACATTGAACAAAAAATAAGCAATAAAGAAAAACAAAAGAAGGTGAGAAATTAAGAATACAAGAATAAAAAAACGTTAAAATTAGAGGCCAAAAAAATGCGGTAAGAGAAGGCCACAAAAAAATGAAACAGAAGGTGAAAAATGATATATAGAAGGAAATAAAAACCCTAAAATGAGAATCAAAAACGCAGATGAAAACAAACGTCAACAAAAATGCGACAAAAACCACGATAATAAGACAAACAATAAAAACGGGATAAATAATAGGCAATGAAAGAAATTAAAACAACCCTTTAAAAAATGGTTCAAACGTATAAAAAGTTATAAAAAAACGATTAAAAAACCTACAAACAAAAATTACAAAAAAAATAAAAACAGAACAAAAATCTACAAAAGATCATAAAAAAAACCCGACGTGAAGGTGACAAAAAAATGTCACAAAAATCTAGAAATAATATAAAAAAGACGACAAAAAACGGACACAAAAAGTCGAAAAAAAGTGGACAAAGAACTCCATTAAATAAAAATTAGATAAAAAATGCGATAAAAAACACTGTAAAAAAGAATATAAAAAATGGCGATAAAAAGACAAAAATTAATAAATGCGAAAAAAGCTAACACAAGGGTCTAAACAATGTGACAAAAAAAAGCAACAATAAAAGAGCCAAAATGATGAGACAAAAGTAAAAAAGTTAAAAAAAAACGATCAAAAAACATGGCAAAAAAGGCGACAAAAAAAACAAAACAGACGAAAAAAACATGTTACAAAAAAATTAGCGATAAAGACAAACAAAAGAAGGTGAGAATAGAGACAGAATAAAAAATACGTTAAAATTACAGGCCAAAAAAACGCCAAAAGAAGGTGACAAAAAACGAAACAAAAGGTGGCAAAAAGACGAGGAAGAAAGAGCTAAAGAAGGAGGACAAAAAAACTACAAAAACCACAAAAAAACTCCACGAAAATAAAAAACGTGATAAAAAAGACGATAAAAAAGACAGCTAAAAACAAAACACGATATAAAGAAGGAAAAACAAAAATGCAATAAAAGCAATAAGCAATAAAAAAGGACAAATACGCAATGAAAGAAATTAAAACAACCCTTTAAAAAAATGCTTAAAAAACTAGGAAAAGTTACAAAAAAAACGATTAAAAAACCTACAAAAAGAACTACAAAAACGAAAAATAGAACAAAAAGCTACAAAAGATCATAAAAAACCCGACATGAAGAAGGTGACAAAAAATGCCTCAAAAATCTAGAAAGAATATAAAAAAGACGACAAAAAACAGACACAAAAAGCCGAAAAAAGGGACAAAGAATGCCGTTAAATAAAAATACAAAAAGTTGGATAAAAAATGCGATAAAAAATACAAATACAGTAAAGAACAATAAAAAATGTCGACAAAAAAGAACACAAAACGTCGCCTGAAAACTTGTTTGATCTACAGACCATAACGCGCTCACGCAAATGTCGACTCTATTTTAAGCGTTCAGAAGGGACTGATTTGGATTATAATTTCAGCGGAAAATAGTTGTTTGGTTGGATTTTATAACGAATAAGTGAACATTTTTGGTATATATTTAGATGGTTTTATTTACAAATATAATATCATACCTTATGTTACCTATTTCACTCGATTTTGACACGCAACTATCTTTTCGTTTAACTAAGAATTAATTCTTTAATTGTATTTTATACTAGCAAAATGTCTTAAATTAATAATATTGTTGAAATCGTAATAATCCAATGGATTTGTTTCGGAAAAACCCAAAAAACGAAAAATCGAGAAATCGAAACTCCAAAATTAAAAAAATCGGATAAATGAAAATCGAAACATCGAAACACTGGAAAACCGAAAATCCGAAAAGTAAAAAATCGAAAAACCGAGAAATCAAAAAATCGAAAGATCGAGAAATCGAGAATTCATAAAGTCAAACAATTGAGAAACCGAAATCGACCAAAAACGAAAATACGAAAAGTTAAAAGATGAAAAATTGGAAAATCAAAAAAAAAAACGAAAAAACGGAAAAATAGAAATACAGAAATCGAAACATTCCAAAATAAAAAAATCGAAAAGATATAAATTGAAAAACTAATAAATCGAGAAAATGAACAATCAAAATAACGAAACATCCAAATCTCGATAAAGCGGGAAATCAAAACCTTGAAAAATCGAAAAATTTTAAAAATAAAAAATTAAAAAATCCAAATTTTGAAAGAAATGAAAAATTGTAAAACCGAAAATCTAAAATCGCACAGTAGAACAATAAAAAAATTAAGAATTCCAAACATTTGAAAAATTCGAAAACTTGAAAAATTGAAATAGTGAAGAATTGAAATTAAAAATCGAGAAATCGGAAAATCTAGAATTTTAAAAATTGAAAGATTAAAATATCAAAAAATTGAAAAATGTAAAATTTAAAAGTCGAAGAATTGAAAAATCGAAAAAGTAAAAAGTCGAAACATCCGGAAGTCAAAAATCGCGAAAAATGGAAGAATCCAAATATGTATTGAAAAATCCGAAAACTGAAACATCCAAAAACTTAGAATTTAATAAATTGAAAAATTTAAACTTTAAAAAAAATCGAAAAATTGAAAAATCAAACACACGAAAACCCGAAAAATTGAAGAATTGAAGAATTGGAAAATCGAATCACTCGAAAGTCAAAAAATGAGAAAATCAAAACATCGAATAATTGAAAAACCGAAAAATTGAGAACTTATAAAAGTCAAAAATTGAAAAATGGAAATATTTAAAAATCGTTGAACTGAAAAGGAGAAAAACTGATACATCGTAAAATTGAGATATCGAAAAACTAAAAATTGAGAAATTATAAAATCCAAAAAATTGAATAACAAATAGACTGAAAAATGCCAAAACTAAAATTTCGAAAAAGCTAACAGAAGGGTCTAGGGAATGTGACAAAAAAAGCGACAATAAAAGGGCCAAAATGATGAGAAAAAAGTAAAAAGAAGATCCAAAAAACGACAAAAAAACGCGACGAAAAACGTGACAAAAAAGGCGATAAAATAAATTAGAAAACAAAAAAGACGAAAAAACATGGAACAAAAAATAAACGATAAAGAAAAACAAAAGAAGGTGAGAAGTAA